TGACGGGCCTGCTTACTTGGGAAGACATGGATGTTAGTATCAGTAGGTGTTTCCTTCTAGAAGGTCAGGTTCCCCAGAGGTTATTCCCATTCCCGTCGTGCCTGGAGGGTACTCCTACTTCTGATTGCCCATGCTCTGGGAGCCGAGTCAGGGAGGAAGGCTGCAGCTGTCCGTGCTCATTACATCAACTTACTTTTAATCCTTCTAGTTTTGATAGGATGCCCTTGCCTTTGTATGTGATCCCCTAGTTCAGAGACCCCTCCAGAGACTGACGTTCTGTTCTGTTGGGGCAGAGAATTATCATCTTGTTTGGTACTGGGGAGGGAGTGATCTGGGTGCCTGCTTCTTACACAGATACTCTCCCATCCTCCTCCTCCTCCTCTTTTTTTTTTTTTTTTTATAGTCACACCTTCATTCTCCCTTCCAGAGGGCCCTGGCACCCAAGCCTTTGGGTATGTTGAGTGTAAATGGAACTGCGTCTATGCTTTCCCTGCTGCTAGCTTAGTACTTGGTTCCAGTCAGCTTCCCAGCGTCTCCATTTTGTTGTTGTTGTCTCCTCTTTCCCCCAGCTTTGTAAAAATCCCTTTACTATTATTTTAACATAATTTTTGAAGTTAGCGCTAAATGTGTGTGTTGATTCCACTATCTTGAACCGGAAGTCTCTTCTGCCCTTTCCTCCTTGGTCATGGGTAAGTTGGGTCACTTGTCCAAGGGCGTTTTTTTAAGTATGTTGTGTGTGTCAGTGGAGAAAATTCTTCGTTTTAACTTTCTTTATATTAAATGATTATAAGAGAGCTTAATCCTTCCCCCGTTTTTGTACGTAAAGGTCAGAGTCCTTACTAGAAAAACTGCCCTCTTGCCCGTCGTGAAGTTTTTCTGCTTTAACTACCACAGGTTCGGTTTTCCAGTTCGGCAGCGGCAGCACCACCAATTTCAACTTCACGAGCACCAGCCCGTCGGGAGTATTCACGTTCGGGGCGAATCCGAGCCCCGCTGCGGCCTCGGCGCAGCCTTCGGGCTCCGGGGGCTTCCCGTTTCCGCAGCCTGCGGCGGCATTTACAGTGGGGTGAGACGGGGGCTCCGGCACGGTGGGGCTGCGCGCGCGCGCCGGACTGCGACCGCGTTCTGCTTGCGTCCCCGAGGGGTGCGCGGTGTGGCTGGGCCGAGACCCGGATGTGCCCCCGCGTCGCTTGCCCGCAG